GATGGGGTTGCAGTTGTGGCTCCTTTGGAGGTTGTTTCTGATTCCCTACAGTGGATGTGTGCCCCTTGGGTTCTGGGACTTTTTTCTGGCTCCCATCTGGGAGTGCAGCAGGAGGAGCCGTGCCAGCCCAAGTACTTGCATGCTGTCAGCTGCCTGTCCCCCCCTACCCCCAAACCACTCATCCCAGTATGAGGGCTGCAGCCAGCTCAGCTCTGACATTTATTAACAGAGGGGCTTTGAAACAAGGCAGGCTGCTCCTGCAAAGGCTCCTCACTGCAACTCCGTCTCCTCTCGCCAGCCCATCTGAAGCAATGGCTGCTGGTGTTGAAATTCATTAGTGCTCACTGACAGGTGATGGAGGCTGGCTCTGTCTGTTCCCACTTCCCTGCTCTCATGTCCCCGCTTCACGAACGCTGATATTTAAAGCTGATGTGCAGCTCGTAGGCTTGTTGCGCTGTGACAAGTTTGGGGGTGGCTGAGAGAACTGAGAGGGTGGAAGGAAGGCAGAGCGAGATGGGGGGGGGGAGAGGAGAAGAGAAGGCACCTGTCTCAGGGTTTCTGCAAGAGCCTAGGGCTTCTCAAACCCTCTCCAAATGTATTGTCTTGGCACAGCTGCTGCTTGTGAAGTGCAATGATGGAGGCAGAGGGATGGAGGCGCAGAGAAGGCAGTCACCTGGCAGGGGCTAATCCAGCCCTTGACCAAGCCTTGCTCTTGGCAGCTGTCCTACTCCCCTGGGTGACACCTTGCTTCTGCTCTGTGCTGCCACATCTCAGCATCTCCACTGAAGCTTCCCATGCTCCTTCAGCAGAGGACTTCCAGAGCAGAAGCATGCTTGCCCTCTCCTTGGCAGCTTGGTGCAGCGAGGTTGGCTGGGCCGCAATTAAAATGTTCTGCATCTCTTCCAACTCGAGGTCTCCGGTGCGTGATTTTTTTCTTTTTTTTTTTTTGAAAGCTACAACCAGGTCTATAAATATCAAGATTTAATGTCCCTTTATCTTTCCCAAAGAGGGACTTATTCTTTAAACTGCCTCAATATCAATACACCCAGTGTGTAGAAAGTGGCCCAATTTCTTTGTCTCCTGACATCTTGAACCCAGAAGCAGATGGACGTTAACCAGCTCTGATGAGTTGGGAGAATCAAGCATTAATTTTTTATACACGAGGACCACCTGAGTGACGGAAATCAATTATGGCCAACCCTCCCTTCCATATTAATGTGGTGGCTCTGAGCAGAGGCGGAGGAACCTGTTGAAATGAGAAACCCCTATTTCTTAGTTTGACCCCCTAGATAATTAGGGTTAAATTGATATGCTATCGCACTGGTGACACATTTTATCTGCCTCTGTTTGTACAAGAGGATACAATAGTGGAGGAAGGACCAATTTGTGCCCTGCTCTAGCTAACCAGACCGAGATAAAAGGTGTCACTCGTACGATAACGTTCTTGCCTCACGCTCCTTTATTGTTGCTCAATTTGCCTTTTTTTCTTTTTTTTAAATCCCATTCTCTCTTACTTTCAATACCCTTGGTCATATTTTAACTCCATGCCATCGCATAATGATGCCCTGCTAAATGTGTGTGGAGATAGGCAACTCTGGCTGACAGCCTTCCCCGATAACCGAATTCCAGCCCATCCATCACTAGGCTGCTCTCCTTAACTTAAGGGAAGTGATAACTAAAGCAAGGCCGTTTATCACCGCTGAGCTGTGCGCTTCTCACTGGTTTCACTGGGAGGAATGCAGTCAGGTGACCTCACTTTCCGTTTACATCCCGTTCTTCTCCAGCTCCCGTTTACTTCACAGCATGAAGAGGACCAGGGCTGGGTGGAAAACAGCCTGGGATGAGGGGGCTCTCTGAAAATGGAAGTGCAGGCTTAAGCAGAGCTGCATTGGAGGCTGGAGGATCCCGCAGCCATTTTCAGGCTTCTCACTGGCAAGTGCCTGAAGCACAGTCGTTGGCTGGTGAGATTGTGTGGAGAGGAAGCAGCAAGACTTCATTCAGAAGCTGGAAGCATGGTGGGATCTTTGTTGTTCACTTGATGTCAAGGGAAGCAGAGGAGTCTCCATCCCTGGAGGTATTTCAGAGATATATGCACGTGACACTGAGGAACACGGTTTAATGATGGGACTTGGCAAGTTGGGTTGACGTGTGCACCTGATGGTCTTGAAAGTCTTCTCCAGCCTTGATGACTCTGTGATTCTGTATCCTGAGCTATTTGCTTGAGCACAGCCGCTCTACTCATCAAGATTGAATTTTACCAGATGAGGAGCCATATTGAGCATAAGGCCTGTTTGCCAAATGATAGAATAATTTGAGTTGGAAGGGACCTTTAAAGGCTGTCTAAGTCTAACTCCTCCACAATTGAACAGGGTCACCTACAGCTAGATCAGGTTGCTCAGAGCCTGGTCCAGCTTGGTCCAGCTGAGCTGCTCGAATCAACAGTGATCCTAATAAATGGAGATGCTTTCTTAAAGGCCTTGGCAGTTTTATTCCCCAGGAGAGTCACAGGTTTGCCATGCCTATTCCAACGTGGAGAAGGTGATGGAGAAACTGCTGCCTGTTCCCTAGGTTGGGGGAGCACGGACCCACTGTAGGTGACAACCTTGAAGCTAGGAGTGCTTTCCTGGATCCTGCCTTCGGTGCAATGAGAGCCCCCAGATCCCCACGTCTATGCCGAGACCTCTGCAGCTCTGGACTACACCAGAACACAGGGCTGTACTTCAGTAAGGGCAAGGTGCTCAGGGGCTGTCTCCCTGATAGCCTGGGGCCACCCGACCTGAATCTTCCAGCTCAGGAAGCGGGGGCTGACAACCTGCCCAGGTTATGGTATGAATATGGAGCTGCCAGTGCTTTAAAAACTTGGTAAAGTCTCTCTGGTGCTAATGTGAAATGAGGGGAGCAGAAGCACAGAGGGGGAGGAGGAATGTCCTTAGGTCACACAGTTCCACAGCCAGTTTCTGGGGTTGTTACTTGTTTGCAAAAATGGGTCATTTATTTAGTTGACATATTTATTTGGAACATTTATTTTCTCCAATTAAAGTCCCGCTGTCCAGCGCCCTGGGCTTACTGCCATCAGTCTCAGGGTGGGAGAAGAACCAAGCTGTCCTGTTTCCTATCCTTTTTGATCCCACGGGTATGGAAATGCTTTCATGTCATTCATTGAACTGGGTGGTTAGCTGTCACTTCGTGTGGCTAACAAGAACAGTTCTGTTCTGGCTTGTCCTAAGCCCTGTCTAAATGTTAGGTGAGATGAGAATTATTCCTTTAGCTGGAGCCAGGTTGAAGGCTGTATTAATGAAGATTTCTTGGGCTGAAAGGGGAAACCATTTAGTAACACATTTCTTACTAACAGCTCTTGTGGTCCTCACCAGCTAAAGTGAGCAGTCCCAGAGGTTGAGCTGATTCCCCTGTTAGACCCATCATTTATTTGAGATAGTTCCTTTTTCTTGTGATGTTTTTTCATTTGGCCCTCACAGAAAGCAGCTTTCCTAGGATGCTGGTTGGGCTTGGTTATGTCTGTTCAGCTCTGGGGTGTCATGGACACGGGTAATGGCACAGGGCAGGCTGACTTTTACGTGATAGCCATGCAGTTGTGATGGTACTGGCATTAGATGAGCTGTGCCAAGAGATGAGAGCACACTGTCATGTTGTGCTGCTTACCTTGCAGATCGCCTCGGTTCTGCTGCTGTAAGCTCATTCTTTTGACAGAAGAGATTCTTGTGGACCTCTTTATTTAAATGTTTCTGTATAGCTTAAATTGCCACTCCTAAATGAGGCTATGTGTGTCTTTACAGGACCAGGTGCTTGGTTTTAGCACAGTCTTTCCCTTCCTCATCCTAAGCAAGCTCACAAAGGCAGCTCACTGCTGGGGCTGGGCCTGGCAGCTGCATTGGTCACGTATTTCTGGGAGATTCCTTTGAATATATTTGCCAGTTTTTGTCCTTTTCTTCCCTTTAGGAATTAGGTAGCAGCGTTCCTTTGGTTACTGTGATACACAGAATCTCGTGTTACCCACAGATGTGCTGTCTGCATCCCCCCTTGGTTTCTTCATAGTTCAGCTGCTCTAGATCTGAAGGGATGCTGCCCTGGAAATCAGAGGGCTTGGAGATAGGCTGAGCTCTTAGCTACCGTACAGGGGCTGATGGTGCACTCAGCTCAGAATTTGTTCCTGAATTTCAGTCCTGAATCTCAAGTCCAGTCTGGGTTCTCTGTGTTTTGCCCTGGACAGATGTGTGCTGAGATGCTGGAGCAGCTGATGCTGGCACTTGCGGCTCTTCCCTCCTCCCCTGCAGTCCCCACATGTTTAAGGAAGTTGTGAGATTTCCCCACCCCCTCTGTTTGCAAAAGCCAATTCCTGGGGTTGTGGCTTTTAACATGCACAAATGAGTCTAATTTAGTCATTTATTTAGTTGACATATTTATTTGGGATGTTCCTTTGCTTCAGTTAAAGATCCTGTGACCAGTGCCCCAGGCATGCTCAGCAGTACGTGAATGAACAAGATTCATCAATTACTCCTGATTGGATCAAACTGGCTGGAGAGGACTCCTATAACTCATCTCTAGCACAGCTGGAGCCCCGGTTTTGCTTCTCAGCCTTCCCCATCCATGGGCAAAGCAGGGTTCTCTGCCTGGCTGGCATTGTGCAGAAGGAGCCACTTTCCAAATCCAGGGCTTTTGGTGTCCCTCTGTTCCCATAAAGTGAGCCTTGTTGGCAGAGGTTAAAGATTCATGCTTGCAGATCTGGCCAGTACTGCTCAAACCTGCAGTAGGACAGTGTGCAGCTCTTTGCATCTTCAGCCTGGCTGTGGCTGGGTGTGTGTCAGGCTTCAGCCAAGCTGTGCTCTCGTGAGGTTTGTTTGCTGCTGTCCTTTCTGATGTGCAGCCTGCTGCTGCAGGCTGGAGGGGCTCTTCCATCTCAGAGTGAAATGTGCTTAATAAAACAGAGTTTGTGTTGTCAGGACAGTAATTGAATCAAACCTGCTCTCTCTTCTCTCTTACAGGTTACCAGGACAATGCCAGTACTTAGGGCTGCCGGTTGCTGATTACTTCAAACAGTGGATTAATCTGAAAAAGGTACTTTTGTGCAAGCTGCCATGGTCTCTGTCTCA